ATTTTCAGAGAAAGGGGTCCTATATAAGGGATTGTGAGGTACTTGGCTGTAGTGTTTCTGTCAATTCGTGTGAGAGTAGTGTGGATAGTAGGGATACGACTGCAACAGGATTGACAAATTAATAGTCAAAAAAACAAATACACTCAATATCCGCAAACACGCATCATTAGTTGAATTAAAATATTGATACCTGACAATATCTCTATTTATTTATTAGATTACTGATTTTAAGAGCATGGATAATGATACCGAACTTCATGCAAATTCTTTTGCTGTGGACTCTGTAAAAGTCATATTGCAATAGCAGTGTGACTATTTTTATATGTATTTAGCATTTGCAGACTGAAATACAACTAAAAGCAGTATGCAAAAACATTTCTTAGCGCTTAAACAAATTTGAAAAACTTTCTATAAGAAAGGTGAATTATTTGAATATATAATTAAAATTTGTCAAAAAAGGTTTTTTATTAAAAAGAAGGCATGAAGTATAAATGTGTTACTGTGTTACAAATATAATGTAAAAATCATGTTTTTCATGGTGGAATGGGGAAGAAACCTACCTATTTGTAAATTTATTTTTGATCAAAATTATTGATCGAACATTTTATATTATTTCACTTTTTTACTGTTTACAAGGCTAGGTCATTTTCTTAAAATGAATAACCATTACAATACAAAATTTGTAAATTTTTTGAGGACATGTAAATTCAAACCGAAAAATTTGTGTAATTTTTGTGTAATAATAAATGACTCCATTAAAATATCAACACATTTGTTGCACAAATATTACTGTTTCCTCTCACAGAAAAATTGTCATCACGCTCATGATGCACACGACATGTGGCAAACCATTTTGATTGCACTTTTATTTTCCTTCCACACTAGACCCGATTCTCTTTCCCCAAAAACTTCCCTCAGCCCAGTCCAGCCACAAGTTGTCACATGCGTTTGCATTCTTCTGAGGCCAATTGGACAGGCCTGCTCTGGAGGGATTGGGGAAAAGCTTTCTTAATAGAAATGAAGGAATATTATTCCACTACATAGCAAAAAAGGAAATGGTTGTCTAGAAGTAGTTTAATTGAAATATGTCCTACTCAAATGTTAAGTTGGCAAAATATAAAGGGAAAGCGAATGAAAATGAAAGTTGCATATTTTTAGAGAAGAAGTTGGGACACGAATTCGTCATGGAAATTACTTGTTTTTATTCAGAATATATGCTCAGGTCAGAGACACTGAGCCTATAGCCCTAGGAGTATAAATACCTATGTAATACCCTTAAAATGCCAATAATTAGTGTGTTCCACTAGAGTTTAGCTGAGTTTACGGGTATGTTCAGAAGTAAATTTCTGGGACTTCCTACCTTTAAAACTGATTTTAATGGAAATATTTGTCAGTTAAATATAAGCAAGATTGGAAAGAAATAAAATTCTCAAAATGTCTAAATTATTTATGAAGTCTAAATTTTAATATCATAAAAACCTAAATATTGTGGACTTAGTCATGACCAATTAATTGTTCCAAGAGGAACATGGAAAGATGAAATTAGTAGGACAAAGGATTTCCGGTCAATATCCTGGCATTTGAAGACATCACCTGTTGGTAATGTCCTTTTCATTTTGAAACTCACTTTGCATGACATCATCGCTGCACACTGCACGATCTGCAAAGATGCCAGTTGAAAATGCCTCCCCAGCTGCCATGTCGTCCTCTTATGTTTGCACTGCAGCACGCCTTGCAACCATAACATCCTCCAGCCAGTTGTAGTGGGTATCGCGTCTAGTGAACTTGCTAATGTGTAATTGTGTATAAGAAAAGGGGCTTCACCTACAGGTAAATAAAAAAAAGTTAAGCTGTCCCGCAAATGGCCCTGAAGTTGTCCTTCGACTTTATGTAACTAAAACTCCACAATTGCTATGCCTTAACAATAGTAGGAGGTGATGTGATTGGCATTAAAGACATAGATAATAGTATCTTCTGTTGTAAGCTTTTACTTAACACTAACAAGGAAACATGAAGCACTAGTTGTGAGTTTATCAGAAACAATGAATGTTATACAATTTTGACCAAGAAGTTTAAGAATTAAAAAAAATTGTAGAATTGTAGGGTAATTTTGAAAATGTTTGTAAGTTGATGTTTCAAAACAAATTTCTTATTTGTCTTTCTCTTGCAATACAAAGTTTAAGTTAGAAACAACATATATACTGTCTAGGTTATTGAACAAGCAAAATTGGGACCAAATCTGAAGACATTCATAAATATGCCTTTGAATTCACATATGCCTTCTGAAGTGGCACCTTTAATTAAGCTATATATAAAACGTTTCACCCACCTTAAAGTACTTTTCTCACAGAATTCCATTTGAATATACATGAACTGAAACTCTTTGGCGTCTTGTGAAGAAACATTTTCTGAACTAGACATTTTTTTTGTTTCTTCTGAACTTGGAAATAATTGTTTTGCAGGAGGCTCAGTTGTTTTATTAGGACTTTCATCCTCAAAAACAATATCACTTGATGAATCTGTCTGAGCCCTAGAACAAGAGAAAGAAAAACAGCTGAATTGTTTGTTTAATAAAGTGAAAAAAAATTTTCATAATATACGAAATATGTAAGATCGCAAAATTCAGAACATTTTTATATGGTTCTTCAACAGTATCAAAAACAGTATCAGTATCAGCAACAGTATCAAAATGTAATTAATGTTAAGTTGTAACTCCTCAAGGGACAAAACCTGCGCACTGGATATTGAACTGTATTAAGAAATCAAAAAAGGTCGAAACATACTTCATAGAAAAAAACATTTAAATGCACAGATATGATCTAATAAGTTTTAGTTCTTATCCACAACCTTCTTTCACAGAATAACAAAGCATAGTGTATATTTACAATTGAGGCAGTCGACGTAAAAAGGGCACATAAGCCTATGAACACTTTACATGCAGAACAGCTATTCGTGTTAGCCGCATTCTTTAGTAGAAGTAGTGGAAGTTTCATTTGTGTATCTTGAAAACTGAGGTCAGTACCCATGTTTGAAAGCAGCTGTGCAGAGTACGTAAGCAGGTAGCTGCAACTATGAAGGCATTATAATTTTTTGTTTTGAACAAATTTTTTAATTATTATTATTATTATTATTATTATTATTATTATTATTATTATTATTATTTCTATTATTATTATTAATAATTTTATTATTATAATAAAATTGATAATACGACACAAATGATGTAGAGATGGTGGTCCTACATCAAAAAGCTCCATTTCATGTAATGGATAAGGATTTTGCTTCAAGAGTGGAATACATTTTTGACTTCATTTCTCTAGGGGAAGCTCCATTCATGATAATGAATTATGTGACCATTTATGTTCTTACATTTACACTCCACACTTTGTAGAATATATCTCGTGTACAAGGATTTGACATAGTTACTACTGAAAAATCTCCATGAGCAGTGGTAAGGAAAGATGCTAATGTAAAAAGTTGATATTGATTTCTAGTTGAAGAGGATGTTAACTTTATAGAAAATATGTTATAGCTATTAACATACCTAGAAGTGTTAGGAGTGTTATTACTGCAGAGGCCCCAAGTTAAAAATCGAGGTGGAGCATAGCCAAGCCGAGATTTTTAATTTGAATGAAGCAGTAATATCACTGTTAACATTTTGGGGTATATTCAGCATTTTATCAGTCACCATAAAATCTCACGATTTAAGCAAAAATTTACATTACTGCGATAGTAATCAAATGAATTCTGTTGCTGAGGCACATTACTACGTATTGGTGTTGCTAGCAATGTATCTATTTAAACAACATTTGCATACCGTGATTTGAGAAAAGACGGATGCAAATAATTCTCCTGAACCTAAAGATTCTTAAGGAAATAATGTCTGATGGGTAAGTAGGTTAACAAACATGTAGGGTTGCATGTTAAAAGGGGTTAAAGCCGTACGTGACTAAAGCCGTATGCAACTCAAAAAAATATTTAAGAACGAGACTTTTTCTTCCATGATCCTGTTCTCATTTTTGTGAAGCAAATTTTCTTTGTTCCAAACAAAAAGTTTAAGATTGTTGCACAGAATGGTGTACAGGCATAATGTTTCTAAAAGCTATTAATAACTTGGCATTAAGATTTTATTCCATATATTTGACTTTTTATTCCATTTTATTGCCTAAAATTTGTTCTGTGTAAATTGGGGCACAAAACCCTGTGCATAAAAAATATTTTTTTTCAAACAAGGAAAGAGTTGTGCCTTTCATTTTATTGTGCATAATGTTTGTTGAATAGCTACTTTTTATATTTCAGTTATTATCATCTCTTTATCCAGTAATAAACTTAATTTACACAAACAAAACTTTCATCACAGTTTTTCTCAAAACAGCTTATTTGCTTAAGTGCTCTCTTTACGTAGAATACCTCGATTTAAGCCTGCAGAACTGGCCATTACTTATTTATGACTTGAACTGAAGAAGTGCTTAATAACATCACTTCAGACACACACTATTAACAGACAACAACAAAATCTTGTTAACTATTCTTTATTATGCCAAAGAACCCAAGGCATATTTTACTTACACAAAGCTAACCCAATCCTCTTCATCAGAGCTATCATCTGAACTATCAGTTTCTGGAAGAGCGCTGCTCTCAGACACACTCCATTCCACAGCAACATCTTGTCCAGGCGGTGCCAATTTCGTTATACCATCCAAAAAATTCACTGTTACCTACAAATTTCAGAACGTTGGCTTAAATGAAATGAAAATATTTTTGTTACCTGCAAATTATAGGACATTCAGAAATAACAATGCCATATTACATACAGAAGTCCCAACTAACATTTTAGGTTATTACAGAAGAATCTATATTTAACAAAGAATAATGCAGTGCTATTTCAGTGTAATGCTTGAATATTTCACATGCCAACAAATTGTTTACTCTATTCCAAGGTTTTAATCTGACCGCCTTCGTTATCTTTGAGGCAGTGTGAAACGCATTACAGGTATTTTCTTTGATCACACTCCAATAACAGCGAACAAATTTATACTGAATGTATAGTATGTACAGTATGTACCCAGTTCTTGGATAAAAAGGAAGGAAGTAGGGAAGGAGGGAAGGAGGGAGGGAGGGGGGAGGGAGGGCGTGGTGAGGAGAAGGGGGAGGGGGGGAGGGAGGATGGGGGGAGGGGTGGGAGGGCAGGAAGGAAGGAAGGAAGGAAGGAAGGAAGGAAGGAAGGAAGGAAGGAAGGAAAGAAAAATGGAAAGAAAAGGGGGAGGGAGCGAAGGAATGTAAGGGGAAAAAGAGATATGCAAGACAAGAAATGGAAGTGAGAGAGGAGGTTCCTGGTTGAGCAGTCGAACTGAAATACTTCAGTCTTCCAGGTGTTCTTACATGATCTGTTTCTTTCTTGGTCTTCCTATATCTCTCTGTTCAAGCGGCTTATATTTTTAGGCAGCTTTTGGGAATCTTCCTTCTTTCATTCTTTTAATATTTTCCTGCCATTTTTTCTGGTTCTTTTTAACTTCCTCAGTTATGTTGGTCAATCTTTCTCTTATGTCATTATTTCTCTATTGATCCAGTCTAGTATAGCCAAGGTGGTGTCTTAGGAACCTCATTTGAGCTGCTTCCAGTCTTTGGTTATCTCCTTGTTTTAGAATCCAGGTTTCTGATCCATATTATAGCATTGCATTGCACAGCATGTCATGCTGTGTATTCTTAATTTGGTTTCTTGTGCAAAGTCCTTTCCCAATTCATGTCTCATCAATTATTCCATTTATTCTATTCTATTTCAAAATTTTGAGTTGGAGGTCTTTGGAGTTTAGTCCAATGTCATTGCCTAAATATCTGAATGTTGATACTTGCTCTATTATTTCCCCTTCACTGACTATCGTCACTCTTCTTAGTTCCTTTCCTTGGAATGCCATTGTTTTTGTTTTTCTTTGTTGAGATTTTCATGCCATACGTCTTTGCTATTTTGTTCACTAATTACTCCATATCTCAAGCCCTGATAATGTAACATGATCTTGTACACACATATGAAATTATAAACAAATATTAAAAATACATTAAAGAAACACAAAATTTAACTCTAAATTCACTTGATGAAGATAACATGAAATAATATGAAGTTACAGTGAAACTTGGCTCATTACAGTTAAACCTGTCTTATGCAGTCACTAATAGTTTTGGCAAAAAATGGTTATTAATGGAGGTGGCCACTTAATTAAGGTTACGGGCTTACAGAAAGCACTTATTAGGTCAAATAGTGTTAACTGCTTTGAAATGGTATATATTTTCCATACAATTGCTTTAATGATCTTAAACTTCAAAAAGGGATTATAGAGCACATGTTTCTCTCAGCTAGTGTCAAACAACCACTGACTTGTCACTCATTCTCTAACTCAAACATTCACTTTACATCCTCGCAAATTATACTTGAAGATCCAATTCATGTGCTGTAGAAACTTAGCAGGGCCATCCAGCAAAAGAGTGAATGACTTTCAGATAGGTTTTGCGTAAGCAGTATGCTCAATGATCTCTGGACAAGTTTCTACGCAGAGGACAGCAAACTTAATTAGTATGCTGTGAAATAGGCCAAGCAAACTGTTATTTAATAAGGACAAATACTAAAATCTGTTGTTACTGAAACAAGTAAATACCCTTGCGACATAAATGACTAAATTTCACGGTTTAAGTTGCGCACTGTTATACACATTCTTCAAGAAGGGATTAGTACTGAAGCAATAATAATAATAATAATAATAATAATAATAATAATAATAATAATAATAATAATTGAGAATGTTGGCTTTTCATCATGTTCTCATTCTTTGCAACGCCCACCCTATGCTCTCACCAAACCAAATTCTCATCGAGACTAGATTTGCAGATGCACTTTTCATCCTGTATATAGTTTAGTACAGATGAAGGAGTTGTCAATGACCTTTCAATATTCATGCACATTGTGTGCATCAAGAGTTGTTGACAAGTTTTCACAGAGGAGAAAAACATATTAGCAAATTTGATGAAGAGCTGTGGAATGAGCGAAGTGAACTTATTATTTTACAGAAACATTTTATTAAAATCACTAATTATCTGTAATGGCAATTAATCTTCCAGGAAAATAGGTGATACTAGATTTCATTGTTTAACCGACAATGCATTCCATCGCAGGATGATAGTGAGTCAATAGCAATTTCTTACACTTTTTTTTTTATTACCGTTCTTTCACTTATTAATCTATTACTCTTAAAGCCCTTTGCATAAATTTCATTGAAATGCCATGTTACGTATTTTCTATTGTTAAAGCCTCAAATGTCAATCTATGAAATATGTCTGACTGCTGAGCACTTAAATGAAGGAATGTTTAAACATGTTTTATGGGAAAATCAATGTGTTTGACAAAAAATGGCTGTTAAAGAAGGTGACTGCATAATGAAGATGGATAATTCAACATGTTTTACTGTGTTAATTAAAATTATACAAAGCTTGTTCCTGAATATTTGTAAAATCTACTTCATTTTCATTTTATCCAATACATAATTTGATGATATCCTATTATCCCAAAATTAACTGTAAAAAAGACTACAGATAAAAATACAACAAATTAAATGGTACAATAAAAATATATTAGGAAAGAAACAAGAACAGAAGCAAAACAGAATATAGTTCATATCGAAGAGAAACATCACAAAACAATTCAAGTTTTTAGGCTTTTCTGTCAACAAGACTCTTTCTGTACTTGAAAAGTGGCGTAAGTGTAATTTGTGTTTGCCAGCAGAGGGCAGAAGCTTGATCTATATTGCCTGTTCTAATTTAAATGCCTCTCCTGAAGAAATAGGATTTTTGACGAGTGACATTTTTCTTCCAGACTGTGAAATATACAATAATAGCCAACTCCCTGCGCTGGTAAGATACAGAAACATTGATAATCATATTAAGAATACTTTTGAGATTGAAGGAAGGCCATCTTTGAGGCATTTAGCAATAATGACAAAATTAGCCAGAGAAATGAAGAGAGAAAAAAATTAAAAGAAACATAATTTGTGAAGAGGTAAAAGATAATCAAAGAAAATGGTTTAAATGTGTATGGGAAAAAACAAAGCCGCTCTGACATCAGAGAAAAGAATCAATGGAAGTTCCAAAAGGAGGTAGACATTACGGGAACTTTTAACACACTCCAATAAAATGGATCAAATCAAAATCAAATATAATATACCCATCTTAAACAAAATCATACATGATTATTTATTCACATTCACTCAGAAATTGCCCTTCAAAATCATTACAGCCTCTTTAAACAACCAATACCCACTATACACACACTCAATTATAGAAGCTACAAAACTTATCAAAGCAAGAAGCAATAATTGAAATAAATTTTGTCCAATATATACATTCCTCGTAGGTATTTAAAGTCAGAGAAATAAAATAGGTTTTATTTGTAGCTTAAACTATTAATTAATTATAATGAAATCATAGAATCCTTATCTAATTATAACAACATAATTAAAAGCTGCATAAATTTAACATTTAACTCTCATTAAAACAAGCAATTAAAAATAAGTAAAATAGAACAATTTGATAAAAATTGGTATTTTCAAAAACAGGTGAGTTGTAATTGATGAAATAAGTCCGAAGTGTATGCCTCAGTAATGATATAACTTGAGATTATTCTGACAGTCAATAAGCACCTCTCATTTTCCTTTCTCTAATACTATTTACAAATTGAATTCAATATCACGTCGCATCATTATCATTAAGTATTTCTTTGAATATTATTCTTGGCTTATTAAATAAACAAAAAATTCCACATACGACCAGACTTTCTCTGGACCACCAAAATTTTCTCATGGACCACTGGTGATCCATGGACCATATGCTGGTGATCTAATGAACTAACCACCACCCTCGATGTGTGTGTGATGGTATATTATAACTTACAAAATAAACATTCGTAATTGTTATTGGGCCTTACACAAAATTGAAACCTACTACCCTTATATTAATGCAGTCACACTCCACAGTGCTCCTTTGGGCATCCTGCAAGTTTAAAACCTTCTGAAATTCTGAACTGTCATACACGTCTTAAGAAGTTTTCCTTAAAGATTTTTATATTTAAACACTGTTCATTAAGCAACAAATTGACATTGATCATAAAATTTACATCATCATTGTAATGGCATGGTGATCACCATTACAACTGCTAATATTTCTACTATTACAACAGGCTCAAAATTATCAATATAGTCATTTATTAACATACCTGCTTGACATCCTTTTTTCCTTCGTAAATACTTCTTGAAGAACCATCAACTTGATCAGTATTTGTGGGCATCTCAATTGTAGCACTCTCAATCCATGAATTGTAGTAGCGAACTACGTTTTCATGATTTAAACGAGAAAGGAGTTTCACTTCACGAGTAATTTTGCGATTTAGTTGCTTATTTTTAGGATCCAACTCTATCCTTTTTATAGCATAAATACCACCATCTAACTTGTTACGAACCTACACAAAAAATGTATACACAACTAACTGGAAAAATACAACAATCAAAGACAAGAATAGCAGGAAATGCACTAACCTTATACACATTACCAAACGAACCCTTTCCCAGCAATTTCATCATTTCAAATTCTTGATAAATTCGAGAATGTCCATTTGGTTGACATGGAATACTGGCAATAATTATGCTTTCTTCATCTTCATTCTTATCATATTCACTATTTTTTTCCTTTAGGATCCATAAAAAATAAACTTCAAAACATCATAAATATTTAACACAAAAAAATTAGTAAAACAAAATTGACACATGCCCAGGAAATAAAAACAAACAAATGCTTTGAAAAATTATTTTTTCAAATGGACATTAAACAATTCTACAGAAATTCAAAATTCCTTTATTATATGCTGTGTCCACTATACATCTTTTTGTAAAATACGCCTCACAAAATATTTTTAAAACTACACTGCAATTTATGCAACTCCGCCCCTGGCAGGTATCAGCTGTTGACTGTTTCATCCAATCGGGAGCTTGAATGTCACCATAGAGACGTCACTATGGTGACCTTCAACTTCCCTATTGGATGAAACAAGTCAACAGCTGAGGGGCAGAGTTGTGAAAATCACAGTACAGAGACAATTCTCTAATATTTGCTCTTTAAACATGAAGACTGTTTTGAGATTCCTGTGAAAATCCACTTATAAACATACTTACTTCCTCATGGTTCTGGGCCATAATTAAGTTAGAGCCAACTTTCATTTTTAGAAACTGATGGTGAAGAAGCTGGCCTGCACTCCAGCGCTGGTGCTCATCTTCCATGAGACATCTGTTCATGGAGCAAGAAAGAGGAAATGTTAGTAATCATGTGGGTACCTCTATTCTGCACAGAGGCCTAAGCAGCGGTACGCATTTCAAGTAAGCTACAATTGCTGCACATTCCCAGAAGAAAAGACAATAATAATATTAATTACACAGTGGAATTGCGACCTTCACCAAGGAAAAGAACACAACTTAGTTTGTATTTTCTGTCACGAGATGTAATACAGGCTCGCAATGGTATAAGGCTCAGCATTGAGTGTATACTGCTTGGACGTAGCAAACTGGCAGACTGCTACCACACCATCCTAGACTTAGCTAGTTATAGTAGTATTAACATACAGCACACTGGTTCCATGACAATAAGCACGTTCAGAAATTTTGGAGGATGGGGAGGATTTTGTTCAACCACTGCAAATATTTTTACTTTCTTGCATAATACATACATACATACATACATACATACATACATATAGAAAAGATAAGTAAGTAAAGTTGCAGTGAAAAGTTACCATTTTTCAGCAGAAAAACTTGTATTGTGGGTTCCTGATTCTGAAAAGTGGAAAATTCTTGCTCCTGTACATAGAAAATTACTTCCTCTATTACATTGCTTCATCAAAATCCATGATTTATGAGCCCTTGAAAAATTGGTTTCTGATGCAATCCCTGTTTGTCTGCCCATTCGTGGACAAAACTATCACCTAAACTGTAGGAAAGATTTTCATCAAAATTGATATTCCTTGTTCAATCTGGCCAAACCTGAAGCCCAACAAATTTGAAATGGATATTTTGTTGATTCTTGGGGATACATTACATGAAGTCTCAACAAGTTATTAAACATCTCATAAATGGCTCCAAATTATTTCTTTTAATCTTTTTCTGAAATAGAGCAAATTATATCACAATTTTCCATAGCTACAATATTTAAGATAAAAATATTTTTCATTAATGAAATATGTTCTTCAAAATTCAATCTTAGTTTCTTGTAAAATTGTTTGAAATTTGTGAATGCAAATTTTTACCTTTGCTTTTAATGTGTCACAAAGGTTTTTTAAACCCTAAGGCTAATGATGCCGAGGTAACAAGAAAAGCACACTAATCCAAAGCACCTAAATTCTACTCCCACACTGGGAAATTTTTTTTTTACTGGTTGGAAATAATTTTGCGGATTCAAGTTTTATTATAATATTAAGTAACAGTTACAAATAATGTGCCAACTTACATGTTGTTTTAGCATTGTCTCTGTGTTTGGAATGTGTTGTGATCAGTATGTGGTATATGTTTTGAATTAACTAAGTAAAATTCCATCAAATAAAAAGTTAAATTTTGCTAATAAGATTCTTACACATCTAAACAAAGAAAAAAAAAAAGGTAGTGAGAAGAGATATAATTGATAAGACGGAGTGGACTAGCACTACAGAAACTCATGGGATAACAAAAACAAATCAGAAGAGGAAGTATGTGAAGTAATATGCAGTGAAGTCTATCCATAACAATAAATGGGATCCAAACTTTGAAAAAACTAAAAAATAGGAATGCAACAGGAACAGATAACCTAAATGCAGAACTATTAAAATATGGCAGGATGATGCTCCACTGGCAACTACAACATATTGGGAATTATTGTTGGCACACTAGTAAAATACCAGAATCATGGAAAACTGCTAAAGTAATATCCACATTCAAGAAAAGTAAAAATTGCATTGGAAATTGTAAAATTTACAGAGGAATCAGCATTTTAAATTAAGCATACAAGTTGTACGCTAGAATATTAAATGTAACTCTAAAATATATCTCAGAAACTCTCATTGGTGGAGAACAGAATGGTTTTAGAAAAAGGAGATTGACTACAGACAATACATTCATAGAGCAAAAAATGAAAGAAAGAAGAAAAAAAGAAAAGAAAGAAAAGAAAACGCATAGCTTTTATAGATTTTGCAAAAGCCTTCGATAATGTAGAGTGAAAATAGTCCATAATGAACAATAATGACTATCGTCAAAAGTTAGTGGAAACAATAAAGAGCTTGTATAAAATTTCTGCTAATAAAAGTAGGAATAAATGAAACTGAAAAAATATTGATAAACAGAGGAGAGCAACAAGGATGTCCAGTCTCACCGACACTTTTTAATGTCTATATTGATGACATTATCCAAAATTGGAAACAAATATTTTAAAATGGTATTAGGATATAAAAAAAAAAAAAAAAAAAAAAAAAAATAATTATAAAATTTTACTATATAGATGACGCTTTAATATTCCAGGAAACAAGATGATTTACAGGATGCATTATTCCACTTAAACCACTTATGTAAAAAATACTATGTTAAAATATGATGAAGAAGAAGAAGAAGAAGAAGAAGAAGAAGAAGAAGAAAAATAAGAAGAAAAATAAGAAGAATAAGAAGAATAAGAAGAAGAAGAAGAAGAAGAATAAGAAGAATAAGAAGAAGAAGAAGAAGAAGAATAAGAAGAAGAATAAGAATAAGAATAAGAATAAGAATAAGAAGAAGAAGAAGAAGAAGAAGAAGAAGAAGAAGAAGAAGAAGAAGAAGAAGAAGATTAAGAAGACGAGGAAGACAAAACAGTTTAAGCAATAGTCAGTTGAGAATTGATCAGTTATAATTTTTCTCAAGAAGGTTTGGAATGGAGTTCAGATTGTCTACCCATCGATAATTGGCCACATCATGCATATTGTCAGATTTCAGAATTGGAACAATCCTTATAATAATAACAGGAATTTCTGGGGTGGAGCAGTGACAAGGTAACAGAAACAAATGTCAGATTAACATCATTTCACTACCAATTACATCAAATGTAATGTAAAAGAGCACTACATGCACTGCTTTCACAGATTACCTTGTGTGAACTGAATGCAGCATAAATTTCTTCCCTCTCCTTGCAGGAAGCTATTCCCCACCAGTTTGCAAGGTGTCATCAATATCTTATGTGATATAGCTAGCTTCTCTACCTCACATTATCAGAACAACACTAAGCATTTCCATTACCAGCATTTTCAGGAGTTGCCTCATGTATACAGCCTCCTTTGTCTTCTCAGATGTTGTTAACATATG